ATCATGTTCACGTATGTGAAAGATTGCGCAACGCGCTGACCTTGCGTGACCTCAGCGATTTCCGCGATTATCTCGCCGCGTTTGACGACGAGAAAAGTCTCTCCACGGAGTAGTCCTTGTGCTTCTTTTTACCTTTTCTCCCGTCGCACGCCATCTACGACGGGGAAAGACAAACGCGTATGAAACGTATCGCATCCGCGTAATTATATCCTCGTCAGCTCGCAGCTCGAAAGATGTGTCCCCTGTGCGACGGTCTGAAAGCCATTTCCGCGCGCTGTGACGAACGGGGAAACGGTTAGGATCGTTAGTCTAATCGACAACGTCATTACCTATTTTCTACGCGCGACCTCGGGGGGATCGCGTACCGAATCCGGAAATCCAGCCGGTGCGCCGAGGCGTCACTCTAACGGCCGCTTCTAATTGCAGGCACCATGACGAAGCTGAACTCGGTGCCGGTGTCGCTGAAGAACAGGCCGCGCATACCGACTCCGGACGTGACGAAGGAGGTGGTCGACCGTGAGCAGCGGTTGGCATTGTCGGCGACGAACGCGGCGAACATCGGCGCGGGCGTGGTGGGCGTGATACCAACGAACGGTCACTATCCGACCGACCTGTCGGTGGTAGTCCTGTCGCCTATACAAGAAACCGAAGGCACACCCGCGTCCGGCAAGTCCGGCGCGGCGGCCCTCGCGCAAGCCGTGCTCTCGCCGACACTGACCAGCGCTGGCCTGATGACGCCGGTGACTTTAACGCCGGTCGCCATGGGCCACCTCACGCAGCTGGGTCTCATGAAGACGACTTCGACGACGGCCACGCACATCAATAATTCGGGCAACATCGTGCAGGCGACGTTGACCGAGGTCAACAGTAGCGAAGAGGAGGGTAGCGGAAGTGGCAGCAGCAGGAGCGGCAGTATCACCGGGCAAGAGGACCGTTCGACGCCGTTGATCGACAACACCAACAGCCCGACCGGAAGCAACGGTAGCTCGCCCACCTTCGGCGGTTACAACGATCGCTCGCCGATCCTCATGAGACCGGAGAAACTCGGCTACATGGTCACCGCCGGCGTGCCCGCGCCGAGCAGCGGCACAGCCGCGGACGCGCGAGGTAGACGATCGGCATCCTTGCCCGGGCCGCCGGTCCTGCAGCCGCGGGACGACCGGAGTATATCGTTGCCGCAATCGCCGGGATTGCAGCCGCGAGAAACTCGAACGGCCTCCGTGTCGAGTAAGCAGAACGGGCTGGTTGACGTGGACAAGCTGGCCGGCGGTCACTCGGCGGGCATCCGACCACGGACCAGTAGCTTCGGTCACGACTTGTCCAGGCCCACTCAGAGGGCACAGGACGCCTCGAGGAAAATCAGCAGCGTCTCGTGCACGAACGCGTCGCTCTCGAGCGGCTTCGGCTCGGCGTCTTCGACGTCGTCCGCGAGCGTGTCCGCAACGACCACCGTCGCGGGCAGCAAGAGGGGCGAGGTTTACGTTTGATAAAGGAAAATCGACACGCGACACGGACGGTTGAGCCGTCCCGATGATTAGGAGGTACATTTAGAAGGGTAATTTAGACGGCGCAATTCCGTCCGCGTTTCCTGAGATTCATCTCCGTCCGTTATTGTGATGTCTCGTGTAAATGCACGTGACGGTTCGCGGTATATTTTTGTAATTTCTCGCTCGTATTCGGGGGAGTAACATGATTATCCTCGAGGTAGATGCGGAAGGTAACGCGAATGTTCTTGAGAAACGCGAGAAGGATAATCCGTGCTACTCCGCTTAGCGCGTTTCTGATAATTTTACGAAACCTTTGGAATGTCCTGCGAATTTGAAACGAATGAAGGCTTGACAGGATGTTCCAAACGATTCGCTACTGAAAAGTTGCAGTGGCGTCGTGCCACGGTTTAAATATTTTGTCGTAATAACGATCAACGAAGGGACAGAATTTGTAGATCGCACGATTGTAAATAGTAATTTATGTGTTAAAGACTCTATATGACTCGTAACGATCAATCCGATGTAGGAACATATATTTAAAATGCGTATGTATTATATAATCGTTAACATTACTCGGCACGAGTGTAAGATGGTTGGGAATCTTGAAATAGTTGCATGAGAAGATAATTGGATCTTCCCGACGAAGATCACGCGGATCGCATAGCTGATCGCCGACCGATTATCGACTTACACTCGCGACGAAGGAAAAAGCTATAAGTGTAATAATAGTACGAAACAAAGTGCTTTAACAACTTAACGGGAAATCTTGGAAATGTACTTTTTGTATCGTCGTGCAATAAAATACAATACTGTAAGGATGCGTCGATTATAATGTTACAGCGCACACTAGTTGCTACACTAGTTTGTTATTAGTAACTCTTACCCGTAATGTATCGCAATCTCATTGTAAATTTATTCCTTCGCGTCATGATATTGTGATATCGTTTTCTACGGATATCTGTATGACGTTTTATGTAGATGTATCTATATAGCGCTACGTGGATCAATGATGCCGAGAGAAATCAAATCCGTTAGCTATATAATATAATTCACGTACTTTTGTACATAGTTTTACTTTCCTTTTCGACTTGCCGTTCTCCCTCCCCTCTGTCGTCTCGCTAGAAATTTTTCATACGTTTGTTTGCCATATGTTCGATCGGTGCGACACATCGATAACCTCGTACACGCATACATACTTCTTCATTTTGCCATTTTTACAGACGCATCGCGAAAAGTGATGTAAGAGGCAGTTCATGAGAGTTTAAGCGATCAGCATTTCCGATGTTTCCTCGCATGTACATTCCGACTGTTTTAATCTTATTCGATATATCTCGGGTTAGCTGAATTGATTAGCGAAACGCGAACGATATTGGAATACGCGTCGATGACCGCGGAAATATTTATCTGAGAAATCGTAGAACATATATCGGCATTAGTTTCTATTATATTCTCGATGGACGGAAAATAATTTGAGACAAAGCGCTTCTTGTATGCGCATCTCGGTGACGTTTGACGTGCAATCACGTCGTGGCTCAAGTTGTTTGTAATGACAAAGAGAGCTTCTTGTTATTACGAGTATATTAGTGCGATCGAATGAGGAAAACGAGCGTGTGTGTGTATGTATATATATATATATATATACATACACACACACGCTCGTTTTCCTCATTCGATCGCACTAATATACTCGTAATAACAAGAAGCTCTCTTTGTCATTACAAACAACTTGAGCCACGACGTGATTGCACGTCAAACGTCACCGAGATGCGCATACAAGAAGCGCTTTGTCTCAAATTATTTTCCGTCCATCGAGAATATAATAGAAACTAATGCCGATATATGTTCTACGATTTCTCAGATAAATATTTCCGCGGTCATCGACGCGTATTCCAATATCGTTCGCGTTTCGCTAATCAATTCAGCTAACCCGAGATATATCGAATAAGATTAAAACAGTCGGAATGTACATGCGAGGAAACATCGGAAATGCTGATCGCTTAAACTCTCATGAACTGCCTCTTACATCACTTTTCGCGATGCGTCTGTAAAAATGGCAAAATGAAGAAGTATGTATGCGTGTACGAGGTTATCGATGTGTCGCACCGATCGAACATATGGCAAACAAACGTATGAAAAATTTCTAGCGAGACGACAGAGGGGAGGGAGAACGGCAAGTCGAAAAGGAAAGTAAAACTATGTACAAAAGTACGTGAATTATATTATATAGCTAACGGATTTGATTTCTCTCGGCATCATTGATCCACGTAGCGCTATATAGATACATCTACATAAAACGTCATACAGATATCCGTAGAAAACGATATCACAATATCATGACGCGAAGGAATAAATTTACAATGAGATTGCGATACATTACGGGTAAGAGTTACTAATAACAAACTAGTGTAGCAACTAGTGTGCGCTGTAACATTATAATCGACGCATCCTTACAGTATTGTATTTTATTGCACGACGATACAAAAAGTACATTTCCAAGATTTCCCGTTAAGTTGTTAAAGCACTTTGTTTCGTACTATTATTACACTTATAGCTTTTTCCTTCGTCGCGAGTGTAAGTCGATAATCGGTCGGCGATCAGCTATGCGATCCGCGTGATCTTCGTCGGGAAGATCCAATTATCTTCTCATGCAACTATTTCAAGATTCCCAACCATCTTACACTCGTGCCGAGTAATGTTAACGATTATATAATACATACGCATTTTAAATATATGTTCCTACATCGGATTGATCGTTACGAGTCATATAGAGTCTTTAACACATAAATTACTATTTACAATCGTGCGATCTACAAATTCTGTCCCTTCGTTGATCGTTATTACGACAAAATATTTAAACCGTGGCACGACGCCACTGCAACTTTTCAGTAGCGAATCGTTTGGAACATCCTGTCAAGCCTTCATTCGTTTCAAATTCGCAGGACATTCCAAAGGTTTCGTAAAATTATCAGAAACGCGCTAAGCGGAGTAGCACGGATTATCCTTCTCGCGTTTCTCAAGAACATTCGCGTTACCTTCCGCATCTACCTCGAGGATAATCATGTTACTCCCCCGAATACGAGCGAGAAATTACAAAAATATACCGCGAACCGTCACGTGCATTTACACGAGACATCACAATAACGGACGGAGATGAATCTCAGGAAACGCGGACGGAATTGCGCCGTCTAAATTACCCTTCTAAATGTACCTCCTAATCATCGGGACGGCTCAACCGTCCGTGTCGCGTGTCGATTTTCCTTTATCAAACGTAAACCTCGCCCCTCTTGCTGCCCGCGACGGTGGTCGTTGCGGACACGCTCGCGGACGACGTCGAAGACGCCGAGCCGAAGCCGCTCGAGAGCGACGCGTTCGTGCACGAGACGCTGCTGATTTTCCTCGAGGCGTCCTGTGCCCTCTGAGTGGGCCTGGACAAGTCGTGACCGAAGCTACTGGTCCGTGGTCGGATGCCCGCCGAGTGACCGCCGGCCAGCTTGTCCACGTCAACCAGCCCGTTCTGCTTACTCGACACGGAGGCCGTTCGAGTTTCTCGCGGCTGCAATCCCGGCGATTGCGGCAACGATATACTCCGGTCGTCCCGCGGCTGCAGGACCGGCGGCCCGGGCAAGGATGCCGATCGTCTACCTCGCGCGTCCGCGGCTGTGCCGCTGCTCGGCGCGGGCACGCCGGCGGTGACCATGTAGCCGAGTTTCTCCGGTCTCATGAGGATCGGCGAGCGATCGTTGTAACCGCCGAAGGTGGGCGAGCTACCGTTGCTTCCGGTCGGGCTGTTGGTGTTGTCGATCAACGGCGTCGAACGGTCCTCTTGCCCGGTGATACTGCCGCTCCTGCTGCTGCCACTTCCGCTACCCTCCTCTTCGCTACTGTTGACCTCGGTCAACGTCGCCTGCACGATGTTGCCCGAATTATTGATGTGCGTGGCCGTCGTCGAAGTCGTCTTCATGAGACCCAGCTGCGTGAGGTGGCCCATGGCGACCGGCGTTAAAGTCACCGGCGTCATCAGGCCAGCGCTGGTCAGTGTCGGCGAGAGCACGGCTTGCGCGAGGGCCGCCGCGCCGGACTTGCCGGACGCGGGTGTGCCTTCGGTTTCTTGTATAGGCGACAGGACTACCACCGACAGGTCGGTCGGATAGTGACCGTTCGTTGGTATCACGCCCACCACGCCCGCGCCGATGTTCGCCGCGTTCGTCGCCGACAATGCCAACCGCTGCTCACGGTCGACCACCTCCTTCGTCACGTCCGGAGTCGGTATGCGCGGCCTGTTCTTCAGCGACACCGGCACCGAGTTCAGCTTCGTCATGGTGCCTGCAATTAGAAGCGGCCGTTAGAGTGACGCCTCGGCGCACCGGCTGGATTTCCGGATTCGGTACGCGATCCCCCCGAGGTCGCGCGTAGAAAATAGGTAATGACGTTGTCGATTAGACTAACGATCCTAACCGTTTCCCCGTTCGTCACAGCGCGCGGAAATGGCTTTCAGACCGTCGCACAGGGGACACATCTTTCGAGCTGCGAGCTGACGAGGATATAATTACGCGGATGCGATACGTTTCATACGCGTTTGTCTTTCCCCGTCGTAGATGGCGTGCGACGGGAGAAAAGGTAAAAAGAAGCACAAGGACTACTCCGTGGAGAGACTTTTCTCGTCGTCAAACGCGGCGAGATAATCGCGGAAATCGCTGAGGTCACGCAAGGTCAGCGCGTTGCGCAATCTTTCACATACGTGAACATGAT